TTTTTTAATGCTGCCCGGGGAAGAACGCAGAGCTTGCAAGAGGGAGTTTGGGCGTTAAAAGGGGGATAATGTTATAGGTCACAGATGTTACAACAAGTGAAAGGAGGATCACATGTCACAGCTATCAGTCACTTATAGTTTTGTATTACATCATGTTGTATGACCTTCCTCATCCGACAATCAACATCACAAGCTGATTGCTTGGTATTCTCAATCCTACATTCCCTCAAAGAGCCCCGTGAGATCAGTCCATAACATTAAGAGTGATTATTTCTGCAAATTGTGATTAGGTTTTGTGTCTTCCCCGAGTAATGATTGTGCAATCTGTAGGTTTTGGCTGCTGAGGTTGTCCTGTGGTACGGTTAGGTATTGGGTTTTGTTGTTTTATACATATGTGAAGTTTGACATGATGAAAATTGATTTCTTGAAATTTTCATGTAATATTTGTGCCAAAGTGCCAAGTCAGTGGTTGATATTTGAGTTGTGGTCTGGAAATTGTGAAAACTTGCAGAAAGATAGGTTTTATCCCCAATACAGGCGGTTTCAGACCAGTATTGGGATTAAATCTGATGTTTATTCCAGTTTTGTCAATTTCTGACCCGGGGATGCTGAAATTTCGATTTTGAAATTTCAAGTTGTCACTTTGGCACATGTCGCATTCCGTAATGATTGTTTCATTTGGATCAAATTCTTGGATACTAAAAACAAAAAAATCACGACAAAGAGCAAACAGTTTTCAATAATGAATAGCCAGCTGGACTAACTTTCAAACTTGTTAGGTTGCAATCTTTTAAGTTGACAATTTAATCCTTGTGATCCAGAATTGCCCAAACTGTGTAAAGAGAACCCAAAAAGAAACTTGGTGACATGATCAACAATAATTCGGATGATTTTGAAAGAAAAATTACTTTCCTTGGTCTTGATTTAAAAAGATTCAACTTAAAAGAAAGTTTTTGAATTTGAGTGATTCCAATTTACCACATCCCAAATACCAACTATGTAACTGATATGAATATGATCACAAAGTAAGAAAAAATATATCAGAAAATCTGGAAGTACTTGGAGTTTAAGGAAGAAGAAACAGTTGATAGTAAGATTATCATTTGATTTGATTGGTTCAATAAATCTGTTTTAGGGTTTGGATAAACTGAATAACTTGACATAGTTGTTAATATTATCAAGATCGATCATCTTGACCTTGATAATGATTGATTAAGCTGGATCATTCAAGTTAAACAAGAACAGTAGAATCCAACAAAATAGACAAATTGAATTAAAATCAACAAATTGTTGAACTTCAGCTGAGGTCGACTACGTTTTGATCAGCCGAAGTTTCGCCCTGACTATGAATACAATCACATTTTCCTATCTCCCCACAACGGATCTTATTATCCACATATTACCATAAACTACTCGGCTTCTTGGCCTACAATGTATCTGCCATTTGCAACTATAATCTAACTCACGTCCCCGATTGTTACTTCACTATGATAATTAGATCCAACTATGTAGTCAATTTTCAAACAAAGCAGTACAACATCGACACCCTATCATAACCGACTCACTTCGTTGGCCTACATTTTACGCACTATCGTCAACGATAATTTTAATTTTCCGTTCGATTGATACCAGCATACACACATTCCCATAATGGCGAGTCTCCTGGTGTATACTGAAGGGACTACCCGGCGCTATTACTCACAACGACTTCAACTTTCCCGATAACTGCTTTTAATCAAGATACATCCATTACCATAACCAGCCGAAATCTGCGAATTATATGCTTTAATAATTATTTTTAAATCTGTAATTCGTCTTTGCTAGCATATTCAAATAACTAATTTGCCGACTTTTCATTGTGCATTGCACGAACTCCTTCAGCATTGCCAGCGACTTCGAGTAAGAACGACATCTTACGACTTCCTTTTCACGCACTCCCATTTGGCAGTTATTCACAAACTAATCATCGCGATCCCCAAATTGATTTGCTTATACAAGTTCGGAACCACCTGGCTGGACTCCTGAATTGGTAAATGACTTTCTTTGAGCACAACTACTATATATATATTGCTCATATACGTCCTCCAATTGCTACTCTTCCCGTTGATTTGCCTAACTCCCATAAATCCATAATCTGGTCCCCTATCTTGCCCCGTTCTTCAATTTAATCACTCAGCCGCAGTCCTCTTTCAACCCATCTCTATCATCAAATTCATCGATACTACTAAGCTAAGGTGCGTAACTAGGTCCGCCCACCAGTTGGTCTCAATAAAATAAGCCAGCTAACTGCCATGTATTTTACATTCATACAATTCACTACTTCACTCGGCACGGCAATGTATTTCATTAAAGACCTGATGCCTACATCCCCGCCTATCGTCACTCAAGTACTGTACATTTCAGGTATCTTTCATAGAGGAAAGAACGTACGTTCTATTTTAGACTAATAGGTCCTTCGACCGAATTGATTACACTAATACCAGTCCTCAGGTATCGTCTTTCAATAGTTCAATACCGAGGCAGGAGAATGCTACGGCGCCAATCAAATCGGAAAGAAAACACACTGGGTTTCCCGTCGGGAATTGCCCAATGCATGTCACTGTCAATGACAACAACAAGCGTCGACCGAATTCTAATTGTGACACCACCCAAGATTCAACTACGATTTGCGCTAATACCATTAATTGAGCTAAGATGTAAGTCCAACTTCAGCTTACTGCACATATCAATTTTATCGACTGCACCAAACTGAGCAATCATGTTCAATTCCCGACAGTCAATTCTACAACAAGAGTTAATTGTCAGCATTCGGTATTGTTTTCGCCTCAAACAACAAAGTGACAACTGAATTCCACTTATACAGAATAGTAATGTATTCTTATCTACTCTGCTACAGCAGGCAAATGTAACAGTCAATTTGTTTGTCATATAAGTGACGAGGTACTTACAAACTAGCTCATCGGTCATAAGAGTACTGAGCTCGTTGATTTCCTTTGTTTTCTACTCCCTACAATACTTTTGATGTAATGGTTTTTTTATCAATTTCCAATCGCAATCCAAGCATAAAGAACTACTACTCTAAAACAATTGAAACTTTTGAACACATTTGTACTTCAATGCCTAAGCACTGTCACTCTCAACAAGACCAGCTCACACATCGGCAGAAACATGATAATGCACTTCCCCTTGCAGCCATAAATAATCTTCCTCGTGTTTGTTTGAAAGACAATGTAAGTGAATTGGTTGTTTGTCAGAAATAATTCAGGCCGCCAATTGCCAGTTAATTCCCCGTTATACGCACTCGAATTTACGAGTTAAGTATATCAACTAATTACCCCTATAAAAACAATTTTATACTCTATACGTACCAATCAATAAACAGTTAAAACAACAGTCAGTCAAAAATAGACGGCAAGTCTAATGAATTACTATTACCAAGAAAGGAGGTTATAATAAAAATTACAAATAATGACTCATGCTTCACATACACCTCAACCTGTTGTGCAAACGGAAAGTCTATTTTTGTATGATTTGCAACTTGCCGCTAAAACTCACGGCCAAGGAGTAACTTCCACCTAGAAGAATTAATTCACTCACAAAGTGCACAAAAAACTCGCAAATATTACGTTACCCGCTCCACCGATTATCTCCACGACCATTTTACAATCTATACGTTTTCCCCACTACACAGACCGAGTAGCAAGTTAAACAGCGTCCTGCAAAGGTCGCGAATCACTATTTTGCAAAATCCGCTAATTACCGGGGCCAAATTTAAACCATCGTAAGCAGGGCGCTATCGATACGACTTGCCACTAATCTTGGCTCAAGGTAATTACTCAAACAATACGTCGTACTGATACACCCGAGCCACGGAACAATGAGGCAACTCGCCAAAAAACTCACCAAACGCACTTATTAAGAGAACAACAGCCGCGGTATGAACACGAAGTTGTCCAATAACTCGGCAACCTCACGAAATATGATTTACATTTGAAAACCAACACCTCAAACAATAATACCCAGCTTTGACTTCGCAGCATTCATCAAATTAGGCGAGAAACTATTCAATCGTAAATTATTTTTTAGCAGTAAACTCGATCACTTATCTCAGAGCTTGAACTCATAATAAGTTGGTTAGAAAACGATTTATCACCCAAATTCTTATAGCGGTTTCAATTCAATAATGTTGCATTTCATTTAAAACTTGTATTGGTTTGTGAGGTACAATGGTTTTTTGAACGAATCAATTTCATGTTTTGGTGGATAAGGTAAATGAGACTTTTGGATCAACTTTGATAAGGCTGAGAAAGCCAGGGTGCGTCTACTTCACCACGGGTAGATCATATCCAAACTTGTTGAATCATGCAGTTGCAATCGTACCTCCACAAAGAATGAAAAAATCGAAATTTAGTCAAATTGAAAGAAGTATAGAGTATTAATTTTTGAAACACCTGAAATAGATTCACCTGCAATGATTGGAAATATTAGCAACTATTGGATTCAGTAGACAAAGTGAATCAGTAATCGAAGTTGAATGAGATGAATTTTTGGATTGAACTGAAAGATAAAGGATTGAACCGATTGATAAATTAGATAATGAGAATAAAGTGGATGTAAAAGATTGTTAGGTAAAAGTAAGTAAGTAAACGTGTAAAACAATTTGTATCATGATGGTAAAGTGAACCAATTCTTGATGAAGAAGATAAGACAGAATTGGAATGAACTTGATAACCTAGGATCAATCACTTCAATCGATTACTTCAATCACGATAAACTTACAATCAAAATCAACCAAGTTAAAAAGCTAGGAATTAAACCAAATTCAGGATTCATAATTGATCGATCAGACTCCAGAGTGAAGGTATGTGATTGATCAGGGTTTCCTAAAAAAAGGTGGCAAAGCCTATTGAAAACTCAATCAGCACAATTATCAAATCAGCCTGTAAGTTTTGAAGGCAATTGAAAATACTCACGTACAAAGGCTGCTCATGTCCATGATGCTAAAGTTGAGCAAAACGCACGCCCGCCAAGAAGGTGACTGGTGTCATGTTGGTTTCTCGATATGTAATAGTGCCAACTGGCAGAGGTTTATAAGGGAATTGAAAGTAATTCTCCCGAAGCCAAAACTTCGGCTGGTCAAAACTGGGATTTCTACGGCTAAAACGCGAACAATTTGTCGATTGTGTTTGCATTTGTCGATTTTGTTGGAATTCACTGTTCGCCTTCAACATGAATGATGATGATTCCAATGCTGACAATTGAATCGCTGGCAGTCAAACTTCCAGGTAAAGGTTCCACAGTGCGGACAAACGAGTGATCTAGATTACAAAAGAGTAACGTGTCAGATTTTATAATCAATGTATGGCAAGTAGATAAGTCGATTTGGGAATTAAGGACGCTGTGGTTTGATTTGAAATTGGTGATTACCAAGAGCATGCACAATACTACGTGCAGTCAAGCTTTTGACATTGCTCAGTGACTCGGATAGTGAATCCGATTGTGACCTGGATTCCGAGTCAAGTAATGATTTTGAAAGTGGTTCAAAAAGACTTGCATTGTGCTTTGGACATGGAGTTAGATTGATTGTTGGATTGATCCTTAACGGAGCATTGGATTGGTTGTTTGATTGATCAATTGTGAAAAAAATTGAGCTGATTGCTCTATTGATTTTCAAACAGAGCATTGGATTTATTTTTTGATTGATTGCTAGATCAATGGTTGAATTGATGTTTAGATTGATCGTCGAAAAGAGAATTGAAATGATGGTTTGATTGAGTAGATAAATTCTTCTGAAACGTTGCAATCGCTAAGCCAAGTGACCTAGGAAATGCAGGTAGGATTGCTGAGGTTGTAACTTTAAGTTATTTTCTAGGAAACGCACCATCTTTAGAGCGAAAGCCTCGAATGAAAGCCAAACACGACCTGGGGATCAAGGCCTTTAAAGCTTCCGCAAGATATAAGACCGACTCAATAGGTTTTGGAAGGACAATCTGTTGATTGGCCCGAGGTGATCGCCTGTAATGTGAACCTCAATCCTGCTTTTCAGAATCGAATGAATGAATAAAATAATGCTGATTGGGGCCGAGTTGAGTGTGGGAATTGAACCTCGAAGAAGAGATTAGCAAATCATACACATCTATCGTCAATTCCGAAGTCCTCAACGCCAGAGTTATCACAAGATCAAATGTGATTGTGACTCATGAGAGATCTTGATGATATATATACTGGTCCAGTAGATAAATCTCTGAGTGAAAACTTGGGACAATCTGAAAGGCAAGGAAAAACAGTTAGTTCTCTATTTCAAATTAATAGATGAATCGAATATTCGGATTCAGGAAGATTGACGATGGAAGGCTTGATTTGATCAGGAAAAAGGTACTTACTATTGAGTAAGAGGATAAATTTTGATTTAGTGAGCAGATCGAGCTGCATTGAGCAAAATGTTGGATTTGGATTGAATTGAAAAGCTGATTTGGATGAAGCAAAAGATCGGGTTTGATCCTTGATTAATTGTAAGGACTACGGTTGTAGTCAAAACTCAACAGTTTTACTACAGCGTCTCGAATCGGAGAATTGGTTCTTAGTTAACTTTTAGCGAAGTTTCTTAAGTTGAGCGTCTCAAATCGGAGATGTAAGGAAAGTAAAAAGAGGATGCGAACGGCGTTATCTCTCTGGAGCGTCGACAAAGAAAGAAGAGGTAAAGAATATAGTTATTCTGATAAGGAAAAGAGCAAACAGAATGAGAACAGATACAAGCTATATATATTTGTAATATAAATCTAACTACGTCATTACAAAATGGTTCCTTGTTCCTGATTAGTCATTTGCTGTACAACATGCATTACGTGTTAAGCTGCTTATTCCTAAGTGGTTTTCTAAAACCATATCATCACTTCCATGATCATGACATTAATAGAATCATGATTCATGTGAGGCCCATGCTTACATAGGAGCAACCTTCAGGAAAGTCGGCTAGGGGAGGATTATTGCAAAGTTGGATTGGCAGACAAGGTGCAAAGAGGCAAAGAAGCCAGCAGATGATTGGGATCTTGAATGAAGGGATCCACAAATGAATCTTGGATTGATTTCTGACCCATGTGCAAGACTCAGAAATTGCACTAAAGGTGAATTTTGTCCAGGTTTGTGCGAATTGCTTGGCTTTAATACGAAATGATGGTTAGTCAATATATGGATAAACTAATTCATAGTTGTCCTTTAACTTGTGATGAATGATGACAATGATGAATGAAATGGTTAATGTGTTACCGAGGAACTTACGATTATATTTGAGAGATCGAGTGAAGCTCGCTTGGCTGTAACTTCGGTTGGTTGAAACATTAGTTTGTTCAGCGGAATCAGTGGAGGTTTTGGACAATTTGTCAATTTTGTTCAATTTCGTTGTTTACCTTTAACTTGAATGATGATATTATTAACACCTCACAAGTTAATAAATATACCTAATGAATAATACCAAACAAGTATTAGGGCCCGTTTGGTGGAGCTTACAGAATTTCGTACCCTTTAAAAGGTACGAACTTTCTGACCCCGGAAAGTCGATTTTCGTTATAAGTTGACTTTTTGTCAAAAGTCAACTTATAAGTAACAAAAAGCTGTAATTCATTTGGCAGCCAAAAGCGGAAAAGCTTGTTGACCGCTCAAAATTCAACTTATTTTTCTAAATCATCCATCTCCTCAGTCATCACGACTCAAACCATCACCTTTTTACATCAGGACATATGTCTGATTCCTCCGCATCTTGGGCGGAATTAGATCAAATTCTTGAACCTTCATCATCCGAAGGAAGTAATCCAGTAGACCATGATCAAGAGATCATCGATCTACTCATGGCAGCAGCTCTAGACCGTGCTGAAATGGCACAGCAACCAAAGATTCCTTGTCGAATCTCCGCTTTACGTGGCTACATGTATGAACAGGAAATTATAGCTGGGAGTCCAGTTCGATTCCATGACATCTGCCGCATGGATCGAGCTACCTTCTATAGACTTCATATTACATTAAGGCCGTATTTAGAAAGTACAATCCACACGACATCTGTCAAGCAGCTCATGATTTTCCTTTACATTGTTGGAAATGCCGGTTCGACGGTTCTTGCTGCCGAGCGCTTCCAACACTCGGGAGAAACTATCTCTAGATATTATAATAAAGTAGTCTCGGCACTGGTAGACTTAAAAGACAAATACATCCGACAGCCTGGACCCAAAGCACCAATCCCTATTGAGATCACCTCGAGTGCATGTTTCAGTCCATGGTTTAATGGATGTATTGGCGCAATCAATGGTACTCACATACCAGCAAGTGTTCCAGAACAAGATAAAGCTGCTTATCAAAATCAAAAGGGTATATTGAGTCAAAATGTACTCGCCGGATGCCATTTCAATATGGCATTCAACTTTGTAATGGCCGGCTTTGAAGGGAGCAGTAGTGATGCTCGAGTTCTTGAAGTAGCCAGACAGGATGGTGCCTTTGTAGTACCAGCTGGTGAGTCTTGGAATAATATTGTATTTGTATTTTTACTGACTTTTTAAGTGCAGGACGATATTATTTAGTAGATGCCGGCTACGCTAATGAGCCCGGTTTTCTTGCACCTTTCAGAGGTGTTTGATATCACGTCAAAGAGTGGGCAGAAGGGAATCGAGGCCCTGTGAATGCTCAAGAGCTATTCAACAAACGCCATTCTGGGCTTCGAGGATGTATTGAGCGCACTTTTGGTGTTACAAAAATGCGATTTCCGTGTACTCGTTTTATGAGAAAGTATCCAATTGAAAGGCAGGCCGATCTTGTTGTGGGATTATGTGTACTTCAAAACATCATCTTACAGGGTGGTGAAGAAAATTTCTTTGACGAGTTTGATCTTGATCAAGATGCCCGTGATCAAAACCTCGCCAATCGCGATTTCAAACAGTTTGAAGTGGCTACTGTAGCAGACCAAGAAAATGCAAATCATGATTGGATGATTTTGGCTGATTGCATGTGGGAAGATTATGTTACTCAAGGCCGACATTAATAGGCAGTATAATTTAACAAACTGATATTGTTATTTGCAAATGTTTTTGTTGTAATATAAGGTGGATACAAATACTAATATTAATTTCATATGCATTAATGGTTGACGGTACCCAAAGGCACGACGGTACCGTCTGTTTCCACAATGCGATGTGGGGTCGGACTATGGGGGTGGAGAAATAGCCCTATAACGAGGGTAGGTTTCTCCAGGCACGCGCCGGAATTTGCAAGAGGCAAAGGTTGAAAATTCCTTCACCTCCTCTTGCATTCCCGCGTTGACCTTTCCATAGTCACCTATCCCACGCTCACATCTGGAAATCTTATTCACTCTTCTCTCACGCTTTAAGCTTTCACGCTTAAACTTCCTTTTTCGAAACTCCTTAGGAGAATATCTCTAATTCATCATGTCGACTGACAATCAACAAACCAACGTAGAAAAGTTCAACAATATGATTAGAAGAAGTAGTGATAGATTGAGGGGAGGGTCTGTCCCCCCTCTAGAATCTGAGCAAACTGTGGATTCACTCTTAGACCCAGACCAACCAACTTCCACGACTGCCGGGAATGCTCAACGAGGTAGGGGTAGAGGCCGAGGAAGTCGAAATGCTAGAGGATCAGCGAGAGGAGCAGCTCAAGGGCAAACCGGTGTCAGAACGCCAGCCATCACCCTCACCGCCCCTAGAAGAGAAGGACAGGTCAATCGTGACACTGAATCTAGCTCTGACTTGCAAAGCAATAATAACGCACCGGCTGCCAATGGATCATCATCTCAATCTGCTGATACAAGCGTCATTCACCCAAGTGGTTCCGGGTCAGATGGTTTAGCAAGCCTTATATCTAAAGACAACGTCGCAGGTAGTGGAGAAACAAACGGTAAGTTTCAACGGCGATTAATTTACCCACCTTAGGTGATGCCGCGATTGCGAAGATCTTTTTGTCCACGTACTGTTCCGTGATGCCACGATCCCGTGATGCCTCTTAAGAGTATGCTTGATTTCGAATAACAAACAACTAAATTGTCGGGTTTCTTTCGTTGAATTCAGTTCCCAAGTCTCCACCCACTGCCAGCATTAAATAGGTTCCCGTTAACACGCCCGAAGGACTTCATTCTTGGTTACTGGCCAATGGCTTATTACTGGTTACAAACCCAGCGGCCGCCACACCACCTGTTAGCGGTACCACTGCAACACACAGAAATGGATCATTGCGCCCTCCAGCATCAGCTCCTGCCACACAAACTCCTGCTTTGGCCAGACTCACTCAGGCAGCGGACAAATCTTCGGATCCTAGACCTAGAGAAGTGATATGCTTAGACGGTACTGGCACATCTGATAAGACAACCCCCACTCCCGTTGCGGATGTCAACTCGACCAAAGCTGCGACTGTGCCTGAAGTCAGTGACGAAGGTATCGAAAATACTGGTTTAGTTGCGTTGTCAAAACACTGGGACGACAAAATCAAACCTCTTGAAGGTTACTTACCGTTATCTATATTTAATATCAACTGGCTAAAAATGGACCTGCTAAAACACTCTCAGCGGCCCAAGACCTTTAAAGATAAAGATGGCGAGAAGTACCATGGGATGCCGATTCCTTCGGAGTGGAAAATGTTGTTTGGTGAATGGGTCACTGCTTTCGACCTCTTTGTTGCTTATTTGTT